CCCCTACGTATCAAGATGGGGCACCCTCTATTATCGGCAGTGCAATTTCGAGAATTGCAGTGTCACAATAACACTTCCATCAACACAACAATATAACCTAAAATGCATAGACACCCATTCCTGTCCAACATAGTTTTCTAACAACGTATCTAGCGACAACCTATCAATATAACCAGAAATGCGTAGACATCCCATTTGAGGACCGGGTGAATATCGCACCATGATTTGGGGCGGCAGATCAATATAACCAGAAACATGTAAACGCCCATGCTCGTCTAAGGCTTCCCTACGCATCAAACACAGTTTTCTTAATTATTGCTCTCGTTGACCATCCCAGTTGTTGCGCGTCCTCTTCGTCGTCAGCTCCCACTCGTGGTGCAGCGTGGTCATATTTCTGGTCGTTATCTTGGATCATATCCTCGGCCGTACTCTCGGATATCATATCTATTATGGAATTGTGTTCGCGGGATCCCTCACCTTTCTTCGCCTCCTCTGTTGTTGCTGCCACCTCCTCTTGCGCCGCCTTTACCGTATGGCTTTCACCATCCTGGCTAGCATCGGTCTCCATCATGTCAGATACGCCTTGCTTCGCCGCCATTGTTGCCACAAGAGACTCGAAAGATGCAAGGATTGTTTCCCCGTCGTTGACCTGCGCGTTGGCTGCTCTGTCAATGTGCCCGACTCCATGTCGTCGCCGTCCTTGTGTATCATAGTGGAATCCCCCATTGCGCTTCTCTGTGTGCTTTGTTGAACACATGCTCGCAAATGTTCATTCTGCAGGTGACCTGCGTTCGCACGTGTGTCCGTTTCGCAACCTTGCATCTCCTCTGGCCATCGCGATGATGGTGTTAGACGCGATGACGTCTTGAGTCTTCAGAGAGATGATGCTATCGATTCCTTGTACTGCTGACGCCTGTTTGATTTTCAAATCGATGGAGCAGTACGACATACTTGATGCGAGGTCGTAGAACTTTGTGCTGAATTCTAGTTGTTTGTTTGCACGCAGATGCTCAAACAAAGCTTTCGTTTTTGCCTCGACAGCCACCTCGCTTGCACCGTCATTTTCTTGTAAAACTCGCCGAAAAAGTTATGTTTCGGTCACGTTGTGCTATATCGCAGCGTCCTTTCTTTCCTTCGCGACCCATCCGCGGTCTCTTGTCTTCACAGCCATGTGCCACTTGCCTACAAACACGCATGGTTCGAACACGCCCTCATGCCAGAGAATATGATGACCCCAATCCTCCTCCGATGACTCCTTGTACTTGTCTTGCAGCAAGTATGGCACCGAAGGGTCTTGAGCAAAGCCTTGAGGTAACGGTTTTCCTGGCACGAGCTTCGGCATGACTGCTGTCATATCCATGTCGTCGTCTTCATCTGTGTCCATCGACGTGTGCGTTTGCTGCTTGGCCTGCGGTGCATGTGTCGATGATGGTCCAACTGTCGGCGTGGTCATTGCACACCCATTCTCTCCAACCGCTGTGTTGCCCCGTGAGCTAACAATTCCCTCACTCGCACCCACCGGGTTCGTTGGTGCACCATTCTTTTCTTCCCTTGCATTCGTTTTACGTTCCACATTTTCCTCACTCGTACGTGTCACTCCCAAACTCGACCTCGCCTTCTCCGCGTCTGCGTTGGTGCTCCCTTGCGGCTCCTTGGCACGTGCTCCCTCCGCCACACCTCGTGCCGCGCGACGGAACGTCCAGGTCGGAGTCTGATGTGTCTTCGTCGCAATCGATGTTGTTTAGGTTGCCGACTTTACGTGCCAAGTCCGCATAGTCCCTGCTTGACAGTGCTCTTTTCTTCATATTGAAATACAAATGCTCACAACGTGTGACGAACATGTGGAAAGCACCCACGTGCGATCCGTGGTACTCGTTAATTGCTATCCCGAGTTCACTTTTCCAGATGACGTAGTCGTTATCAACCGTCGACTGTGGAGCATCACCGAACAAAGTAAGCCCACACTTTTTCCCTCTTTCTGCCGAGCTTATAGTATATGTCCCGGTCCTTGCGATGCTCGACTTGGGGCTTTTCGAACCTACATTTGTTCCTCGGATCCTTCACATAAAACTCCAAAAACTTGGAAAGGTATGTGAGCTATTTTATCGTGTTGTCACACGCAAACACGTGGTGTCCGGCGCGAGCGAGTTCCCAAATCAGTCCCGCATGCGCCCTGCCCAATAGCATCACGCCATCGTCCTCCCTGATGAACGAGCTGCATCGTTTTCGGAGACGTGCTGGCTGTCGTTCCATCCAAGAATAAACCGCGTTAGTGTCGCCCTCCACGCCGATACACTCCCTTGAGCACCTCACAAATTCACSCTCTTCAACGTTCAAATTTGTCAACTCGGCTCTCAATTTCGGCGCAACCGTTATGTTGTACAAATTGTCGTTCTTGGCGTGGAGGACAATAGCCATCATGTCAGTGTACTGAACAACAATGTTCCCGTACTTGTTCAAGGTTGTCGAAGGTGTATAGTGTCTGTACCATGACCCTGTGAGCACCTCAACATCATCCCAGTTGTACACACTCTGCATCACTTGTTTCTGGTGTTTCATCGGCGTGAAAATGCTCAAGGCCCAGTTTTCGCCACAACATGTCATGAGGAAAGCGTACAGTTTGGAAAACGCGTCATCATCCCACGGAACACATTTCGGTGATGTTGACATATCAAGAATGGTTGCCCGTATCTTCATCCCCCTCATCGTACCAACAACCTCCTCGTTGTCGGTGAGCACTCCCTTCGGTTGGATTTCAAATGGCAGGATCGTTGTGATCCTCTTCCCCACTTCCCAAAAGATGTGACAAGCACTGGAGGATATCCGATTAACCTCCGCTCTCAGGTCGTCCAAGCAATCGATCGCCTTGTAGATGAAACACTTGAGTTGGAACGGGGTTTCCTTGTACATGCCTTGGGTTGCCTCCAATCCCGCACCGTTCTCACCATTGATCTCATCAGGACCGCCCAAACGCCTCGGCACCTTCCTCGCCTTGTCGTCAGGGATGAGGTCCCGTTCCTCGGTCCATTTCTCGTCCGTGAGGCCGTTTTTGTTGTACCTCTCTAAGATGGTGGTATAACCGATGAAGAAGTCAGCGATCCACTCTTCTTTTGACCTCCCCTCGACCTTGAAGAATATGTAGTTGAACATACGGATTATATATCTTTCACACTGAGCATATTTCATCAGGTCCGCCATGTTGCATCTAGCACGAGGTAGCGTACGTGATGTCACGATGACATCACCACACATCATGTGGTGAAGCGCCACTTGCTTCTCTCTCGCCGTCATATCGCCGAACAGCTTGAAGATTGTGGGCGTTAAGTCAGGTATAGACACCGTTGCGCCTGATGGCCCCTTTCTGGCCTTGATGTAGTGGAACATGACTTTTTTGCCGGAGTTATCATTGAGAAAGTATTGCCCAGTCAGCCTCCCTTCCACTTTGCCCGGCAGGTCGTTGTATCTCACACCGTCGGCTCGCGGCAATAGCCCCTTCTCGTATATGTCAAAGAATCTTTGTACTAGTGGCCATACCGTATCGCCGCACTGCGCAAGATTCATGTATCCGCGCATCTTGTTCGTCCCGTCCTTGCAGTAGTCGTTCTCCAGGGAAGAGTCCATGAGACCGGAATCAGGTGTCATTTTGCAGGCGACGTTCATGAACTCTTCCCATTTCGTTTTCGGTTTCATTCCCTCGACGTCATTCGGGGACACGGTGCCTGGCGGACGGATCCGGTCATTCCTCTTATCCCCAAATGTTCTGATTTGCCGCACAGATGACGAAAATGATCTCGGGATGGAACGCTCCTCCCTCGTGTTGTCGAACGTTGAGACGTACGGATATCCTCTCTTTGTGTCATCGTCAAAGTAGACAACACGTACGTGAGAGTATGACCTCAAGCCATACACTTTCTCGGCCGGTGACTTGTCTTTAATGAGTCTGTTCATTGCCTCAACCGTGTGCTGGCCAGCAACAACATACCAGTTGTATGTATGAGCTAGTTCGACGTCGAATTGCTCCGGTTAAATTCGTCTGCCTTGAGACCCGTCCTTGTTGGGCACAATGGGAGTCAGGATGAAAGTCATGAAATCCCACTTCCCGTTGGTTTCCTTGGCCGCATTATGGATCGCATCATATATGGACTGCACCAACGTTTCGTCCAACGTTCTATGGTTCAAGAGGATGTCACCTTCAGGGATTGTCAAGATCTTTGTGACGTCCACTTCAATGTGTTCCCGTTTCTTCTTCGCAAACCCATCTTCATCGAACTCCAAGAAGAAGCACCATGTTGTGTCGATGGCTTCATCATGGGTGTCAGCGGAAGGTTGTGTCCGTTCGGACACAACTCTTGGAGGAACCCCTTCGGCATCCTCTCCAGAGTCACCCTCATCAACCATCTTCTTTCTTTTCGGTGGACGTTTCTCCGCTTTTGTCGCCCTGGATGACGCGGACCCTTTTCGTTTCTTCACGCTTTCAGCGACCGCCTCTTGAGAAGCTCTGAGCGCCTTTCGAGATGCAGCGACAGTGAGTTTCTTCGCAGCGCGCTTATCCGCCGCCGCTGTCGGACTTGTTGAAGATTGTCGTTTCGTTTTCTGGACACTGGCCTCCGATCGCTCTCCTGTTGCGTCGTCGACCTCCACATCAACCGACCTTTCTTGCCGTCCATCCTCATCAACGACAGGATAGGCATCATTGTTTTGTCCATCGCCCCCGTCGTCCTCCTCATGACACTGTTGAGACTCCAAACCCTTGCAGTCGTGCATAGATTCCTCACGATCCTCTCTCTCTCTCTCCCTCTCGCTTTTCTCCTCTTCGACATCGTCCTCATCGACACCACATTCCTCATCGTTGACGACATGATTACCTTGTGGATGTCGACCAACACAAATCCTAGGATCTTACTCTGTTTCCTCGTCCGATCCTTCGCTTATCTCCCGTAGCGCCGCCTTCGTCGACGCACCACCTTCGTCCTTCTGGCGAGCGGGAGAGGGAGGAGTTGGCACGACCTTCTTTTTGTATGTGATGACAGGGGTGCCTTCTTCTTGTCGGCTGGACGGCTGAGACGGTCCAGCACATTCCATCCGGCGGGACGAACCCACAGGAAGACCAAGGTCCTCTTCGCCTGGCGGACGACGTGGCTGGCTCTGTTTGTTGCGGCGCCGACTTCCAGTCGCTGACGCCTGCTGCGTTGGGAAACAATGTGGCGTGTTTTGTCTCTCTGTCATTGCTCTACTGGGGAGATCCTCGTCCGGCGTATCAGAAGGCACGAATGTCAGGGACATACGATGACCGGCCTCTACCGTGGGACTGTTTCCGGATCTCCTGTACCCGTTTGTTTTGGCGAGGAATTTCACGGGGCCAAGCATCGTCAACACACTCTCGTCTTCTTTCGGGGACACATCGAAGGCTTTCATGGTAATAGCCTTAGCGCCTTACCTCTTGAACAGATTGTAATCAAGGCTGACTTTATGGTCGGCCTTCACATGGTCCACTCCTTGTTCGTCGAACACCGTTGTGAGGAAAAACCTCCTGAACTTCCATCCGTGCCCGTCCATCCTCTCATCCTCGGATTTAATAATCCCTCCAACACAGAACCAGTCGTTACCCATGCCGTTCTTCAGAAACACAGCGGCCCCACATCCCGCCTCGTGTAGCCCCCCCACCCAATCAAGGGCCCACTCCCAATCTCTATAGATTGTGCAGGTGTTATAGACTCTCTTTTCCCGGGACAGCAGATGCTCCTCCTGATGGTAGGGACATTCCAAACAGAGGAAGGGATCGCATTCAGATTTCAAACCTTCCACTATTGCCTCACGTGAGTCGCCGACGCATTCGAGCGTCGCATGGTATACGCCTTATACCTATATAGACATTCGGAAGAGGGGCGCTGCACTGTCCACATAAGGGGCCCTTTTGGGGGGGGGAAGGGGCATTCCGAAAACGCCCTACCCCCTCCGGTTATCGGAAAGGAGAGGGTGCTGTACCCCCTCTTCGATAACCGGAGGGGGTAGTGCCGCGTTTTCGGAACGCCCTACCCCCTCCGGTTCTGCGAAGCAAGGCGGAGGGGGTACGGCGTTTTCGAAAACGCCGTATCCCCTGCGGTTACCGGAGACGAGAGGGAGCGGTGCTACAACGATCTCGAAACGCCGCACCCCATCGGCCCTGTCCACCTACGGGGCCTCCCAATCCTCTCCGAGAACCAGAGGGGGTACGACGTTTTCAAAACGTCGTACCCCCTCGGCCCTGTCCACATACAGGGCCGAGGGGGTACGGCGTTTTGCAAAAGCCGTACCCCCTCCAGTTGCCAGGAGGCGAAAGGAGCAGGGGTACGTCGTTTCAAGAACGCCGTACCCCCTCTCCTACCCCCACCGAGAACCGAAGGGGGTACGGCATTTTCGAAACGCCGTACCCCCTCGACCCTGTTCACATACAGGGCCGAGGGGGTACGACGTTTTGAGAACGCCGTACCCCCTTCGGTTGCGGGGAGGCGAAAGGAGCGGAGGTACGACGTTTTGAGAACGTCGTACCCCCTTTGATTGCAGGGAGGCGAAAGGAGCGGGGGTACGACATTTTGAGAATGCCGTACCCCCGCTCCCACCCGCACCGAGAACCAGAGGGGGTACGGCGTTTTGAAAACGCAGTACCTCCTTCGGTTGCGGGGATGCGAAAGGAGCGGGGATACGACTTCCCGAGAACGCCGTACCCCCGCTCTCACCCCCACCGATAACCGGAGGGGGTACGGCGTTTTCGAAACGCCGTACCCTCTCGACCCTGTTCACATACACGGCCGAGGGGGTGCAGCGTTTTGAGAACGCCGTACCCCCTCCGGTTGCCGGGAGGCGAAAGGAGCGGGGGTACGGCGTTTCGAGAACCCCGTACCCCCTCTTCTCCCCCTTCGAGAACCGGAGGGGGTACGGCGTTCTCAAAACACCGTACCCCCTCGGCACTGTATGTC